AGTTATGAAATAATTCACATTGGAATGTAAATTCCATATTATCAATACAAATATATGTGAAGTAATTGGAATAATAATTTTAAAATGAGATGATTAGCCATTTAAATGTAATGTTTGGCTGGGCATGGTGGCTCATGCCTGTAATTCCAGCACTTTTGGAGGCTGAGGTGGGCAGATCACCTGAGGTTGACCAGCCTGGCCAACATGGCGAAACCCCATCTCTACTAAAAATACAAATATCAGCTGGGCAAGGTGGCAGATGCCTGTAATCCCAGCTACTCAGAAGGCTGATGCATGAGAATAGCTTGAACCTGGGAAGCAGAGGAAGCAGTGAGCTAAGATCACATCACTGCACTCCAGATGGAGGAGACAGAGCAAGACTCTGTCTCAAGAAATAAAACTTAAAATAAATAAATAAATAATAAATATTTACTATGTAAATTATTGGTAATAGTAAATCAAATAATGATAAATATGTACTAGCTAATTAAAAATAAAATAAATTAAAAATAATAAATTCGAAGTCACATGTAATAACTCTTTGGCTTCTTTACTCCAGTTTTTTTTTTTTTTTTTTTGAGACAGGAGTTTCACTTTTGTTACCCAAGCTGGAGTGCAATGGCACGATCTCGGCTCACCGCAACCTCCGCCTCCTGGGTTCAGGCAATTCTCCTGCCTCAGCCTCCTGAGTAGCTGGGATTACACACACGCCACCATGCCCAGCTAATTTTTTTTTTGTATTTTTAGTAAAGACGGGGTTTCACCATGTTGACCAGGATGGTCTCGATCTCTGGACCTCGTGATCCACCCACCTCGGCCTCCCAAAGTGCTGGGATTACAGGCTTGAGCCACCGCACCTGGCCTTTTTACTCCAGTTTTGAGAGTGGCTAATAACCTCATGAGAGATTTAAGGAAAACTAAATGAGAATGGAATCTATGGAACAGTTTAGACCAGAGCTGATAGAGTGATTCACCTTGATGAGGTGGTAATGATATGTGTCAGAAAGACCTGGTTAAGATGTTTGCTTGGATGCATACTTACTATATAGGTTTGGCTATGTTACTTTATATTTCTTGTTCTTTTGTTTCTTTGCCTATAAAATAGGGATACTAATTTCTACCTTGTGGCATGGTCACAGGGGTTGAGCTAGTGCATACCAAGGGCTAGCAGAGGCTTCACCTGCAGACTCCACTCCCCTTCTCCTGCCATGGCAGCCAGTACTGGTGGATCGCTGTACTTTTTCCTGCGGAACCCACGTTCTGCAGCCAATCCTTCTTTTAAAGTGTCCCAGGCCATCACCAAAATTAGGATAGGATAGCACAGGCTGGAATTAGCATAGGATAGAAAATGGGATACCATTTCTGTAATAAGTGATCATCAAATATACATATTTTCCCTACCACTCCCAATTTGTTGTTTTGGCATGTAAAAAAAAAAAAAAGTTACTATAGCAGTTCTAAAAGCAGTCTTAGTAAATGTTTAGAGAGGTATGGATGCCCTTTTGACACTGAGTCTGTGTCACATGAAGAGTTCTTTACAAAATTACATTATTTCCCTGTTTGCTTAGCTAGTACATATTGTGGATCTCTCTTGAGCTAGATAGTTATCCTTGTTTAGGAATGAAACCAAAAACAGTTCTAAAAATGTCACTTTTGGACCTTGGAAAGTAGTAGTATGAAAAAAGTGTGACAAATGTAGTATTTTATTTTAGTAAACAGTAAAAATAAAGATTCTTGATAATTTCTGTACAGTGAATAGAAAACCTGGGATTTTCATTTTTGTTTCACTCTTGTAGTTCTTTTTCTTAGAAAAAAATTCTAAAAATTGTAACATCAAATGAGTACTACAAAAAAGATAGTTTGGCCTTGACAGTTTCAAGGAACCTGTTTATCTTTTAGCTAGAAAATGTTATCTTCCGTTTCCTTGAGTAATTTCTTTACCTGTATCCTATTGCCAGTTAGTATGTAAAGGACATTATCTTCCTTCAGCATATTTTTATATACAGTGTTGAAAATATCTAACCATATTAAGATATTATATAACAGTTTCACAACAGAACAACTTATAACATCAAAACAATAGTTTAACAGACGTAGCCGGGCGTGGTGGCTCAAGCCTGTAATCCCAGCACTTTGGGAGGCCGAGGCGGGTGGATCACGAGGTCGAGAGATCGAGACCATCCTGGTCAACATGGTGAAACCCCGTCTCTACTAAAAATACAGAAAATTAGCTGGGCGTGGTGGCGTGTGCCTGTAATCCCAGCTACTTAGGAGGCTGAGGCAGGAGAATTGCCTGAACCCAGGAGGTGGAGGTTGCGGTGAGCCGAGATCGCACCATTGCACTCCAGCCTGGGTAACAAGAGCGAAACTCCGTCTCAAAAAAAAAAAAAAAAAAAAAAAAAAAAATAGTTTAAAGACGTGAAAAACTGAAGTTGATGTTTTCTTAACAGGAAGTGTAATGGTTTTTCAAACTAAATTCCCAGCTTGAAATAGGCTTAAAAATGGTTTAAGGTATAGTGCTCGCCGGGTGCAGTGGCTCATGCCTGTAATGTCAGCACTTTGGGAGGCTGAGGTGGGTGGATTACCAGGAGTTCAAGACCAGGCTGGCCAACACAGCAAAACCCTGTCTCTAATAAAAATACAAAATAATTAGCCAGGCATGGTAGCACATGCCTGTAATCTGAGCTACTTGGGAGGCTGAGGCATGAGAATCATTTGAACCCGGGATGCAGAGGTTGTGGTGAACAAGATTGTGGTACTGTACTCCAGCCTGGATGACAAAGCAAGACTCTGTGAAAAAAAAAAAAAAAAAGTACAGTTGTTCCTTAGTGTCCATGGGGTATTGGTTTCAAGGACCTCTGCAGATACCCAGATCTGCTACACTCAAATTCCTGATAATGAAATGGCTTAGTATTTACATGTAACCTATGCACATATCCTCCTGCATACTTAAAATAATCTCTAGATTATTTATAATACCTAATACAATGCAAATGCTATGTAAATAGTTGTTAAACTGTATTGTTTAGGGAATAATGATCTTTTTTTAAAGTTTGTATATGTTCAATACAGTTGCAGGGTTTTTTTCTGAATATTTTTCGTTCTCCATTGGTTCAGTCTGTGGATGTGGAACCCACGGATGGAACCCATCCTCTTCCAGAATTTCACCAAGTACAGCTAACTATACTGAGCGTTTTGTTGCTGGTTTTGCAACTCTGTTATAACCACATTATCAACAGAAACTTCCTGTTAAAATTTCAAGGTTACTTATCACATTCTACCCCCATCAACTATCTACTTGGTATTTTTTGGTAGATCTTAAATCCCTGTGTTTAAGCCAAGTTATAGATCATCCAGTTTAAGTCATGCCTCTAATTTTGTGAAAAAAAAAAAAAAAAATATATATATATATATATATATATATATATATATATAGTATATAGTGCCCTCTTTATCTTTAACATTTTAAAACCTTACAAGTCAAATGGGATTACCTGTTTGTATTCTTTATTAATTGCTGTATGCAAATAAAGCCAGCATGCTTTAATTATGGAAACTGGTCCTTCCCAGTGAAGGCACACTGTCACAGTAAGGCGAGGAGGGGAGCGTGCCTGCTGGGAGGTGAGTTGACTGAGTGGAAGAGCTTCTGAAGTTACTTTCCTGCTCCTCTCCTCGGGTAGGTGCAGCTGTGCAAATCACAGTGCCAAGCAGTAGGCTCAGCGCTGGCAGTGCCAGGTGTGGCTTGTAGATCCTGAGTGATTATTGGCTTTGGAGGAAGCCACTGGGCTTAGATGTAACTCTTTTCTTCTTTCCTGAGTCAGGAGATGTTTTGCTTGGATTTAAAAGAGTTGAAGAACCCAATAATTGTAAAAGTTTTAGAGAAGAATATGTATTCCCATTAAGTATGAGATTTTAGAGATATGTAGGTAGACTCTTGGGCAGAGCTGAGTTTGGTTTGGTTGGAGAGTTACTTTCTGGAATGCAACAGCTTTGTCACTCACACTGGCTGTGGTGTCTTGAGCAAAACTAAAAACTGCTCCAAAGCAGAGGTAGCTTTGTCTTCTTCATCTTCGTATCTTCAGTTCCAAATGCAATGATTGGGACATGCTGATGCTCAATAATGATCTGTCGAACGGATCCAGGCTGAAGTGAAAGCTAGTAGTGTGTGTTCATGGTTTCCTAGGGTGGTGAAAGTGGGGAGAGCCCTGGCCACCCATGCCTCCATCCGGCGGTGCCTTTGTATGGTGCAGCAGTAGCTAGAGAGCCTAGCAAGCTTTTCCCAGAGAGTCAGTTCAGTTCAGTGAGTTTCAGTGAGCAGTATAGGCTGAGGGGCCCACAAAATTCCAAGTAGCGCTGGCTCTCCCAGCAGTAGGCGTTGTTCCTGTGAGAAAGAATGGCTGCCTGGGGAGGCTGTGTGCTGGCGAGACTTCAGGAATGAAGGTCATCCTCTTCCAGATTTTCTTCAAGTCTGAAATGCTCTCCTTGGCTCCTCGAGAGATCCTTTTACCATTACTACTGTGATGTGTGGACTGCTTATGGGTACAGGTTCCTGTTTCGGGTAAGGGGGAGCATGGCCAAGACTGTTCAGTGAGTCTGGCCCAGAAGGGTAATGGGGTTGTTTTCATGGGAGGTACATGGGCAGGGGTAGTATTATTAATATTTCAAGCCAATTGGAATGGATTGATTGATGTTGCATTATAAAAATGTGAAGCAAAATATTTTCAGTGTTTCTATTTCCGGAAATACAAACTAAGTAACAAATAGTTGTCTGACTTGCAAATTGTTGGTTTCAAGGTCAACATCTAAACTTTCTTTATTGCTCCCTTGAAAATTAAGAAGTTTCTGGATTAATGGTAGCTATTACTCCCAAATTTAGATTCTGCATATCTGCCTATCTGTGCCTAATGTAGTAGATGTAATAGTCTAATTAGAAAAAAAATTGCTGGAGTAACCCTGCTGGTCTATCTTACCTGTGCTTGTTTTCCTTTTGAACCTTTCAGGTGCAACAGTGCCAGCCCACAGGGCCATCCTGGTGGCCCGTTGTGAAGTGATGGCGGCCATGTTTAATGGTAACTACATGGAAGCAAAGAGTGTCCTGATTCCTGTTTATGGTGTTTCCAAAGAGACTTTCTTGTCGTTTTTAGAATACCTATACACAGACTCCTGCTGCCCAGGTTAGCAATACAAATGTTGATAGTATCTCATCATTCCTTCTTTCCTTGCCACCTTTTGGAAATAGATGCTCGGTGCTGCAAAATAAAATCAGCACGGAGACAAAGGATCTTTCAGCAATGCAATTTTTACTTCCTGGACTACAGCAGGAAGGGTACTCTCACTAACCATCTTGCCACAAGAATACAATGAACAAAGGAAAAGCAGACAGACTTATCCGTTATGCATTTGGGGTCGTCTTTACTGCTATGTCTGATCTCCGTTGATTGGAGCCAGACCACACAATCTAAACTAAAACCTGATTGGCTAATAACTTAAAACTTTATTCTAAACAGGTGAAAGCAATGGAGAGCTGGGACATGCCTGTGAGCACATCCAGCACAGATACCTTGGTTAAAGTAATAGGACACAGAATGTACTATGGGCCTGTAAGCATGGCATGTTTAACAGCTACATAAGATAAGGCTTAACAAAGTTATTAGCACAATTATTCTTAAACAAGAAGGGAAACTTTAAAAAGGAACTTTTCTACTTCCCACACAACCATTTTGTTAAATTGCATTCTGTAAAATCTATTTTCATTTAATATTTACTAGTTGGCTGGGTGTGGTGGCTCATGCCTGTAATCCCAGCACTTTGGGAGGCCGAGGTGGGCAGATTACCTGAGATCAGGAGTTTGAGACCAGCCTGACCAACATGGAGAAACCCTCATCTGTACTAAAAATACAAAATTAGCCAGTCATGGTGGCACATGCCTGTAATTCCAGCTACTTGGGAGGTTGAGGCAGGAGAATTGCTTGAACCCAGGAGGTGGAGGTTGTGGTGAGCCGAGATGGCGCCATTGCACTCCAGCCTGGGCAACAAGAGTGAAACTCTGTCTCAAAAGAAAAAAAAAGTTATTAGTTGACATCATGGAATGTACTAAGCAGTTGGAGGCGGTGGTGGAAGAACAATGAATTTTCATTCAGTTCAAGTGGAAGTTCAGTGATTGGGTGCCTTTTATGGGTCTCTGATGCTGGCACAAGTTCACATGTCCCAGCCAGCACCTACAGCATGGGGATCACTGCAGGTACTAGAGATGGAGTTGTCTTGTGATACCCACGGCCATTCTAATTCTAGAGATTGGGGCAGATTGTTACTTGGAGCGCTGTCTTTTCCACGAGAAGGGGAGAGTTGCGCAGCTGCTTTGATGCCTGTGACTTCTGATTGGGGCACTTTTAAGGACTTTCAATATTTTGAGACTTTTTTGGTCTTTCTGGCCCAGAGGATGTGGGATTTGTAAAAGCCTCCTTTTGACTTCTGCCAAAGTCAGAAACACCTCAAACTGACTTCTCAGAAAACTTTTCTTGAGATGTTTGGGATGCCCAGTGGACTGTAGGATTCATTTCCAAATTCACTGACCAAGGACTATCTTTGACCAGGAACCAAACATCTGTGGCAGCTCTAGGTGGAAACAGATTTTGCAGGGTTCTTTTAGCTGGAGGCGTTTGAAGAAATAGCAACATTTTTTCGACAGGCCTGGAGCCTTGGGGTGCTCCAGGGAAGCCCTCTGTGAATAGTCTTCAGCCTTTGGCCACCAGATGGCTCCCACCACAAGCACAACTAGCTTTGGCTCCATGGAGCTCAATTCAGGAGGCTGAGACCTTGATTAGAGAACCCGGTCAGGCACCCTAGTAAACGTGAAAAGCAAACACACATTTCAGGCCAGATTGCTCTTCAGATTCACTGCTTTAGTTTTTAGATTACAAAGACTTCTTACATTTGATATTGAAATAAGCTTTAAACAAGTCATGAGCTCTCTAGTGAAAGATTTTAGAAGTTCAAAAAGAAGCAAATTGATTTGTTTTGGTTAAATTAATTCTGGTTTTTTTGCAGCTTGGTGTAGAGTGTTTTGGAGCCAGTTGCTGTTGTTACTGTCAGTGTTAAAGACTGACCTTTGGCCAGGTGTGGTGGCTCACACCTGTAATCCCAGCACTTTGGGAGACCGAGGCAGGCAGATCACCTAAGGTCAGGAGTTTGAGAACGGCCTGACCAACAGGGTGGAACCCCGTCTCTAGTAAAAATACAAAAATTAGCTGGGTGTGGTGGTGTGTACCTGTAATCCCAGCTACTCAGGAGGCTGAGGCAGGAGAATTGCCTGAACCTGGGAGGCAGAGGTTGCAGTGAGCCAAAATGGTGCCTCCGCACTCCAGCCTGGGCGACAGAGTGAGACTCCGTCTCAAAAAGAGCCTTATTATTTTTGCCTAATAAAAATGAAACCATTGGTTCTTTTTTGAAATAAAACTTATTGTTTATTATTTCACTGTTGACAAATTTGTATATTAAATTTAAAAATTAACCAGATTTCGAATAACAGGAAAATCTGATTTTCAATCATCCTCTCACTCAACTAATTGAAGTTGCTATTATTCAGTTTTACCGTGCTAATTAGAAGAAATTATGGAGGAAAGCAGTAATAATGATAGGATTTTTAAAAACTGGCAAAAGTGTGTTAGGGAAAAATGAGGCAAAATGAATAATCAAAAAGTTAAGCCAGATACTGGAATCTATGAAATGGGAAGAAAACAGAAGACAGGTAATGTTACGTTAAATATTCACCATACACAGTGTTCTTGGTTCAATTGCTACAAAAGAATGTAAGAACTGTAAGAATGTAAGGGGGGATAAGAATGAGAATTACATGAAAAACCAGATTTCTAGGAAGTAATTAAAACCTTCCCCAGCTAAACTGGGTGGTTGCCAGGGACTGGAGAAAGGGGGAAACTGGGAGTTAGTGTTTCACGGGTATAGAGTTTCAGTTTGGGAAGAAGAAATATGTTCTGCAAATGGTGGTGGTGATGATTGCACAGCAGTGTAATGTACTTCATGCCAATGAATCATATACTGAAAAATGGGTACAATGCTGAATTTCATGTTATGTTTATCACAATAAAAACAAAGCAACAAACCAACCTAAAGACTAAAGCCAAGAAAAAAAAAAAATGGCAGGGATCTAGTTTAGCTAACAGAAAGATTTACCAGATAATCCTGGAATTAATTTTTAAGGGCAATTATAGAATCACCTTTTCTGAAGAATAATTTGAAAAAGAATAGATTCACTTCTGAGTATGAAGGTTTAAATGTATTTTTTTTTTAATGGAATAACAGGCTGGGTACTGTGGCTCACATCTGTAATTCCAGCAGCTTGGGAGGCCAAGGTGGCAGGATCATTTGAGCTCAGGAGTTCAAGACCAGCCCAGGCAACGTAGTGAGACCTTGTCTCTACCAAAAAAAAAAAAAAAAAAGAAAGAAAGAACAAAAAGGATAGATAAAATGGAGTAATAATGCAGAATGCTGACTGAGCATTCTGTTCTGAGCATTCTGTTCTATGGTGGATGATATGGTCAGCATGCTTTTTTGATTGTTTTTTGTTGTGTGTGCACGTATGTGTTTAGGTAATTTAAAAAATGGTTTTATCATCTACTTTCTCTTATTTCCCTTTTCTCACCAGCTGGCATATTCCAGGCCATGTGTCTCCTGATCTGTGCCGAGATGTACCAAGTGTCCAGACTGCAGCACATCTGTGAGCTGTTCATCATTACCCAGCTGCAAAGCATGCCAAGCAGGGAACTGGCATCCATGAACCTTGATATAGTTGACCTGCTCAAAAAGGCCAAGGTAATTGACTCTGTGTACCTGATAACCTGATTTTTTATAAAAGACTTTTTAAATTACGCTATTTTAAAATTTCTCCTTTTTTAATATACGTTAATACTAGTCTTACTTTGCAAGTTTGCTTAATGAGGCTAAACTCCTCCACAACAGTTTATCTGTGTAGATAATTTTGAAGCATTAGGGTTTGTGTACAGTCCCTTTATAAGGAGGAAAAATGTCCTGATACTGAATTTTTCAGCAAAATAGTGGGCCTTAGCAGAGTCATTTGAATGTGGTGCTATACTGTGTCACACAGGCATCGTAGGAAATACAATTTACATTGAATTTCCCCAAACAGTCACATGTTCAGGTTCCTAAAAGGAAAATGACAGAACTGGGCCATATATACTGATAGTGATGGTTAAGCTAAACCCATTTACTTCTTCATGTTTTCATTCATATGATGAACATGTTTTGAAGTTTCAGTTGGATGTAGGAGATGTTGGTGTGCCTCATTTATTCTTGCAGAATGCCTTTTGTTTTCATGTCTCACCTTATTAGGAATCACTGCCATATATATATACATACTGCTTCTGGGCCTCTTTTAAGCTTAGTTTCTTTTATTTTCAATAATTATATTGCTACTGATTTTAGAGAGCAGAGGGGGTTACATCATTCAGTTAATTTTAAGTAACTGCAGTTACAGAGGCCCTAAATTATGAATTGGAGCCAGGTGTGTAAGTAAACTAGGCCTGCTTTGTTGAAATCAACTTCCGAAACCCCTAGATGCGCTCCCAGTCAAAAACCTGCCAAATCCTCATTCCCGCCTTCTTTATTCCTGGAAACAGAAAGCTTACTCAGATGGCCTGTCCTGCTGTTGGCTATCCTGCCATTCCATCCACTGCCCAAGACAGTTTCAGGACTTGTGGTTGTGGCACACTGTTGTGTACACACCTTGTGGTAAGCTGAGCCCTCTGGATCTTTTTCATAGGAATATATTTGGTCAATCACTACAGAGTGTCAGTACTTCTTGAAATATTATCTGGCATCCAGCACGTCTATACCTATCAATGTCAACATCCAGGGTCACGAAAACAAGACAACTTTTATCTCCATCGACATTACTAAGATGGAGCCAAATGATGAAGCAGAGGCCAGATCTGTGACAGCTGAAAGCTTGCTTCCAAGCTGAGAAAAATTCATTAATCAACACCTCTGTTTGTAGAAGGAAATTTATTTAAAGCATCTAGGTCTTCTCCTACTGTCTCCTTAACTATTTTGGACTTCATTTCTCTCATAATCAAGTCTTACTATCACATGTATTTAATATTAGAGATAAAAACAAATTTAAAAATTGAGAAACCTTGATCTCTCCTTGTAATATATTTACATTCGGCTCATAAGAAATAGCTTACCTCCAAATTTAGTTTACAGTTTTAAAAATTTTTTTTAGTAATTTCACAATCTCAGTTCATTTTCATGTATCATTTTCATACTGTTCTAACAAGTTGTTCATACATTTTAAAAATTGAACACAAGTTTCTTTTTCCTTATCTTTTAGTATCCTCTTAAATCATTTGTGTATAAGAGAACTTCCCATGTGGTCCCATTGATTTCTTTAGGTGGTGCCTCATCAGAATCATTTTTGATTGCACTGTCAGAAATTCTTTACTTGTTTTCCCTTATTCTGTGGTTTCTGACTCTCTGATTATTCTCATCTTTTCCCCTTGAATTTAAAACAATCTAAGATACCAGTTCATTTTGAATTTTGTTTCTGAAGACTTTTTATTTTCTAAGATTAAGCCTAAATTTACCAGTTTTTCTTTATTCTTTTCCTGGTGGTTCCTAATTTGGCAATTATGAATTCCAGATAACAGACATTTTCTTCCCAAGTTTTCTTTGAAGTTCCTAGTTTGAGGTTTCACTTCACCAGTCAGTTCACCCTGTTGGTCAGAATTTGCCAACTTTTCCCTTGCCGTTTTTCCGACTTTTCCCTTGCCGTTTCTCTGACTTTTAGGAGTGAAATTGCCTTTTTGCAGTATTAGACTCCCAGTAGCTCTCCAGATAATCAGGATTTCTGATCACTCTGCCAATTTTGTACTGTGTGTCAGGAAACATCACTCATACTTTCGTAAATGAGCAGTGTGGGTATTCTCTCATTTCTCTGTTCATTTTCCCTTAACTTCTCTCAATTCCCTACCATGATTCACCTTCAGGTTTCCATCAAAGAGAATCTTAAAATACAAGAATTGAGGTGGAGATTACTTATCTCCACTCTTGTTTAAACCCTGTTTGTCCTGCTCCTCAGGTGAACTTGTTTGAACATTGCTCACCGTCAGCTGCTACACAGACACAGGTGCAGTTAGTGAAGTCCATAGCCTTAGATTAAAAGCTTAAATTAAATCTTCAAGAACCTCAAGTAGATGCAGCCATGCATTGCTTAAAGACGTTTGGCCACTCCAGCTGCCGTAGATTGTTATTCACTGTTGGTTTGGCTTCTTCCGAGAATGATGTACTTTTAATATTATCTGTTAATAGTGCTCCCTCATCCTGTCTGCTGTCACAGTAGACTGAAGGCTGCATCAGGTAAAGGCACATTAAACATGGGTATGGGCTTTCCATGATTGCTCCCAGGCCGTTATCTTGATCTAATCATCATAGTGGTGGCCATTATGTGCAATATTCTTTCACTTTTCATTTTTCTTGCAGTTTCACCACTCTGATTGCCTTTCAACCTGGCTACTTCATTTCATTGCTACTAACTACCTCATCTTCAGTCAAAAGCCTGAATTTCAGGATCTTTCAGGTAGAGTGTCAATTTCTGCTTTGAAAAGAAAACTTTGTTCTTTGTTCTTAGATTTGAGATTTAAGTTGTAGAAGTAATAGTTTTAGCAAAATAAGAATAGTCAATGTAATAAATTTCTTGTAAATTTTTCAGTGTGGTAATTGAGGACACAATTTATAGCCACCTTTGTTACACAAGCAGCTTAACCTGTGTTACCCAAGAAGTTTTCTAATGATCATTTTATAGTTCCCAACCTTTTTAAACACATTCTTTTCCCTGAAATAGGTAAGGTGACAAAATACATCCTCAGGTGGCATTTGGTTGTGATAAATGATATCTTAGTTTTAACTACCTAAGACAGTAGCAAAGTTTAAACAGTACAGATTTTAAAAAGTTTTTATAAAGGAATTTAACTGTTGTTAACTATAAGATATATAGTTTTATTGTACTGGATATCTGTATTTACTGAGTATATCTATATAGGAGTCCTTTATATTACTTTGGAATAACAGTTTTTTATATATAAAAGAATGTTGTGAAACTTACTACTAAGAGTATATGTAATATGCTTTCTAAGGTAAATTATAAAGATTAAAACCAAAGAGTGAACTACTGAGTACTACATAAGAAGAAAAAAATGAAAATATAATAGTTGTCAGAATAGACAGTTTAGATGCAGCGGTTTGCTCATGTTACTATCTAGCATAGACTCGAGCAAAATTTGAGCTAAAAAGAAAAGGAAGTAAAGGTTACCTAGTCAAGGAGTTGCACACTCTGGACAAATAAATCTCCATGGAGATAACTGAAGTGTCTTCTAGGGTGGCGGAGCAGAAAGTAAGGAGTCTGAGTGAGAAGAGAGAAGGAATAAGGGAAAGGGAAAGACAAGGCTAAAATTCACAGCTCTTGGACTCTTCCCTCCCTCCTTCAGTCAGAGTAGTTCCCCCTGGTTTCTGTTTTATATCTTGAATGCTACCTAAATTTTACTTTGTAAAAAAGATTCTGCTGGTAAAAAAATACAAAAATCTATGGTTGAGATGGTGTACCCATCTTGGTGCAATCCCAGCTATTTGGGAGGCTGAGACTAAAGGACTGCTTGAACCCAGGAGTTTGAGTCCAGCCTGGGCAACATAACAAGACCCCTGTCTCTAAAAGAGAAAAAAGTAAAACTCTTTTTTTTTTTATTCAGCTACTTGTTGTACGGTTAAGGAAACCCAGGAACACACAATCAGTTTTTGAGAGATGTATTCAGCCAGTCAACAAACATTGTATGTCTGTTGGGAGCCTCCTTACATAAGTCAACTATTAGTACAGTAGAGAAGCATAATCACATCAAAACAAAACAACAGGTATTTATTAGCTATATACTTTGTGCAAGGAAAAAACAAAGTCAGTTCATAAAGATAAGTCATGTTCCTTGCTGTCAGTTGGATGGAACATTCTTCTATAACTGTTCTTTAAGTAGCTGCTTCTATAGTTATTCTTTAAGAAGCTAGCTAAAAGTTAAGTGAATCGCGCTTTGGTCCTGGAGTCAGTTTCATCATGCTACCTTAGATCACTCTTATTTGTAAAAGAAGAATAAGGTTATTTCCTACTTACTGTCTTGTATAGATATATGGTATACATGGAGTGCTATTGCAATCTTGGGAGCGAGATGCTCTATAAATCCTTTTTGTTAAAATTTTTATCATATGTTATTACTTACCCAATTGCCTATTAAGTATGTTATGACACGTGACAGGGTGCAAAGCAGGGCTCCCAGGGCAATGTGAGGTGGCAGGCTGAGGAGCTGAGGCTGTGTCAGTGTTATCTCCTGGTCCTTTGATGGGAATTTAAAAGGGAATCATGAGAGCTCTCATTCTGCAGTGCCTCTTCGGAGTCCAGGAGCCTGCTATGAGGTGTCGTCTTTTTGGTCAGAGGAAAAAAGCGCCTTTTGGATAAGGGAGAATTTAATTGTCTAAATCAATAGTTACTAACTGGCCATCTGTGATTTAGGTGTAGCCTGCCAAGGGCTTTTATTTGGACCCCATACTATGTTTTAAAACACATAGTACTGGTATTTAAAAATTACCATATTTCTGACTTCTTTTGAAAAACTGGAAGATCTGGCTGCCACAAGCCTGTCTTTCTACGTGGCAACATGTGGCTTGGCAGTGGCAGCCCACTAAAAGGAGTATGTCCTCTCCAGAGGGTCGCAGTCACTTCTCTCTGGTACCTTATATCTGGCCCACGTCACATGGTCACTTGAAGTTGGGAAAGGTTCTTGTCACAGTCACTCTACAGCTTCCTTGTAGAACTGCGCATCTTCAGTTTCAAAAGTTCTGAAGTTATTACTAGAATTCTACAACTTGTTTTCTGTTGACTGAGAATTTTTCGTTTTTAGTGGTGTTTAGAAATTTTTTTAAAAGTGAGACTGGAAAAGAGGTCATGTCAGTACAGCCACAGATACATCAGAACCCAGTTAAATAGGTCATTAACTATTAGGATTTTATATACTGGACTCATGAACACAAACAGCAGTGCACAGGAATATGTAACCCTTGGCAGTTACGTATTCATTCTCACAGTTTAATTTAGCTCAGTATTATGTGTTTTGTGTTATGGGGTTTTGTTTGTTCTGTTTTGCTTTGCTGGCTGCCAGAGCTCATCTGTAATAACTTTTCTCTAGTTTTTAATATTTATTGAAGGAGTAACTTCATGTCACCTTTGCTTCCTATTGAAACTTAGAACTTATTTCTGTGAGCAGTTAGTTTGTATGGTCCTGCAGCCTGGATCAAGACCTTAATAATCTGAATTATAATAGATGAGTTAAACAATAGATGGAGATTCTCCTGCCTCATCCTCCTCAGTAGTTGGGATTACAGGTGCATGCCACCACACCCAGCTAATTTTTTTTAATTTTTTGTTGGCTGGTCTCGAACTCCTGACCTCAAATGATCCACCTCTCTTGTTCTTCCAACGTGCTGGGATACAGACATGAGCCACTGTGCCTGGCCTCCAGCAAGGTCTTTATAATCTTATCTTGCACTGACCTCCAGTCTCATTCTGTAACCTAGAATGCCTAACCATCTGGGGATGCAGCCTAGCAGGTCTCAGCCTCATTGTGCCCAGCCCCTATTCAAGCAGTTGCTCTGGTTCAAATGCCTCTGACAGTTGTGCTTCACCAAAACAAGAGAAGAAACAAAGTGATGAAATGGGGGGGATCCAACCCCAAGGCAGGAAGCAGGTCCAGGAAGCAGGACGGGGCAGCGGCAACCACAAGAAGGAAGAGCTTATCTGATGACTGTAGCTGGGTGGGAAACACAGCTGAGAGGACTGTTAAGGACTTTGGAAGACTGAGTTAGCTACAAAGAAAACTCTTATAAATAGAAAAAAAAAATGAGTCCATTACATCCAGGACGAACAAATGCTTTATTGAAAAAGAAAAGAAAAATAATTGAATACTACTCAAAGCACTGGACAAGATGTATATAATTGTAAGTCACATAATAACTTAAATACTGATTCTAATTTAACCAAAATGATAGGAAGTTGTTTTGGAAAGCTTTTGGGAAGGGTAGGAGATGTATCACAGAGCTTGGATCTCATCTATTAAAGACGAAATCAATAGCTGATATCTTCATTGATCCACAATAAAACATATTCAATTAACATTCTTTTTCTTAAAACTTCAGTGGAAGAACGCAGTTTTGTTGAAAAGCACAGATGGCCATCGAATATGTACTTGAAGCAGCTTGCGGAATACAGGAAGTATATTCACTCCCGGAAATGTCGTTGCTTAGTAATGTAACTTGGAGCTTTTATATACTACATTTCTTTTTTATTATTATGAAGAATCCAGGTTCCAGTAAAATTCTTTTGACCGAAACCAATGTGGGTGTTAGAAAAATTACCATGTAGCTTAATATATTTATTAGTTCTCTTTGGAAAAAACTACCATTGTGGTCTTAAAAGGGAACAAAATATACCATAGGCTAAAACTAAGGCTTTCACTCTAGACTATAAAGCTGTTTTACAATTGTATTTTCCCTTAAAGATGTCCTCTTGCTTTAGTGATATTTAGACCCCTGTCAGTTAAGAAATGCTTAAATTTTAAAAAAAATTATATAGGATTAATACAGAAATTTCATCATGTCTGATTAATTGCTCTATTAAAATAAGGGGCATTTAAAGACCCAGCCTAACTATTTGTATAATAAGAATTCTAGGGGAAAACCAATCAGTCCAACATGAGATTTTAGGAATAGAAATTATCCTGCCAAAAGTGAAATGCCACTTGGTTCCCAACTAGTAACAGTGTTTGAATCATCATAAAAAAATTTCTGCTTTTCACCTGGAAAACTCAGTTGAGATACTTTGTCTCCTTTTGGCAATCTGAGTAGGCAGGGAACCGAGGCAGGCTGGCTTTCTTAGTGTGTAGCTTGTGTAGCAGCACAGGGCTCCACATGTAGAAGGACCCCACACTTGGTTCAAGGCTCTGCTATAGCAGAAATTCTTTTTTTTATTATTATACTTTAAGTTCTGGGGTACACAAGCAGAACATGGAAGTCTGTTACATAGATATACACGTGCCATGATGGTTTGCTTCATCCATCACCCTAGTGGAAATTCTTAATAATGTTTGAAGAAGGGCCCCATGATTTCATTTTGTGCTGAGCCCCCCAAATTATGTCTATTTCCTGGCAGGAAATATCCTGTGTTTTCTTGCTCAAACAGCTTCTCTCTGAAAGCAGAAAAGAGAAGGAGGCTCACTGGAGGGAGGAGAACATAGTGAAGATTCCTGCCTTTGGGGAGGTCTGAACCACCCAGGGCCTCCACTGCCACCATGGATGGCAAGGGAGAAACGCATTGTGTCGTCTTAGCTTTAAAAGAGTCACAGTTCTGGCTTTGTTATAGATGAACAGGTACTTCCTTGATCATTCTGTAAGACCAGGAGGTTGGTAAGAGTGACTAACCAGCCTAACTTGAATACACATTTATAAAGATGCTCACAGGGAAAGATGCTCTGCAGAGAATTTGCTATTGAAGTTGGCTCAATAATTTTTTTGTGTGTTATTTACTAAGACTAGGATGGCAGTAGGTTAAATTATTTGACTTATTTTCAAGGACTGCAGATTATTTGAGAAAGAGTAGCATGAATCTTGTCCTCTAAGATTACACAGTAAGTTCAAAGAAAGGATATAAGTCAAAGACTGGCTTATATAGAATTGCCTGGGATAGAGGACAGAATGATAGTTTCTTTCTTTCATATCACATGTATAGAGAAATAATCATATCAGAAACTCACAAACCTAGAGATGGAAAAACAGATTACTGTCTATTGTCAGCATGATTTTCATCTATAAGTCAATACTGGCATATATTTTTCTTTAATTTCCAGTGACGTTAGTATACACACCATTTGTCCAACTTTTCAAAAATTTGATTACATGGTTTTATAGTATAGTGTTGGTACTCCATACTGTTAGCCCTTGTTTGTATACCAACACTGCCAAAGCAAAACATTAGGCTGGGCGTGGTGGCTCAGGCCTGTAATCCCAGCACTTTGGGAGGCTAAGGCAGGTGCATAACCTGAGGTCAAGAGTTACAGACCAGCCTGGCCAACGTGGTGAAACCCCATCTCTACTAAAAATACAAAATTAGCTGAGTGTGGTGGTGCACACCTGTAATCCCACTTGGGAATCTGAGGCCAGAAAATCACTTGAACCCGGGAGGCGGAGGTTGCAGTGAGCCAAGATCGCATCACTGCACCCCAGCCTGGTAACAAGAGTGAAACTCCCTCTCAAAAAAAAAAAAAAAGGTGAAACAGTAAAACTTCCATGTAAATATATTCCAAGAAATATTTTAATTGGGCTGATTTGAATTGGGCTGTATCAATGAAAATTACTGGAATTGATTTTATGTCTTTTGTATTTTAATCACTTGAGTTAATCAACCATTAGCAAATTCCATTTGACAAGGATTAGCATTGTAAAAAACAGATACTGTGGTAGATTTCTAGAAATTTATTCACATCGCCGGGCGCGGTGGCTCAAGCCTGTAATCCCAGCACTTTGGGAGGCCGAGACGGGTGGATCACAAGGTCAAGAGATCGAGACCATCCTGGTCAACATGGTGAAACCCCGTCTCTACTAAAAATACAAAAAATTAGCTGAGCATGGTGGCGCGTGCCTGTAATCCCAGCTACTCAGGAGGCTGAGGCAGGAGAATTGCCTGAACCCAGGAGGCAGAGGTTGCGGTGAGCCGAGATCGCGCCATTGCACTCCAGCCTGGGTAACAAGAGCGAAACTCAGTCTCAAAAAAAAAAAAAAAGAAATTTATTCACATTTAAGACTTCTGAAATGCAGTAAGAGCCTTTTGTTTTTCATGAGCATATTCTTATCCCTATATGAATTACAGCATTTAAAGTTCAAAATCGGTAACTTTTCTTCTAGGAAATAGAAAAATATAAGCTGTAAAGCAAAAAGGATATTTTCTTGAAAATGCTATTTAACATTTAACTAGACTGTAGATCAGGCGTCCCCAAACTTTTTACACAGGGGGCCAGTTCACTGTCCCTCAGACCATTGGAGGGCTGCCACATACTGTGCTCCTCTCACTGACCACCAATGAAAGAGGTGCCCCTTCCTGAAGTGTGGCCGGGGGGGCGGGGGGGTGGATAAAGTGGCCCACAGGCCATAGTTTGGGGATGCCTGCTGTAGATAGTTCTTTAAGGTTGTTTGACCTGAAGTGGAATTGGGTTTCGAAGCCGGTGCCCAGTTGGTGTGAAGCATGTAGTTTTGTTATGAAAGTTCTTTACCACCTGTGTGAGTGACACCAACACCCAGATGTCACAGCTCTCCAGAGCTTAGTCAGAAGAGAAATCAAATTAGTGTTTAAACCCATTTGCATATAGACTCATCAGTACCTTTAACTCAATTTAATATAACAAGAAATTGTAAAATACTTATAACCTATCTTAGAGAAATGAGTGCTGGTTTTGCAAGTTTTTTTTTTTAATTGAAAGATTATTTCTAGATGAGTATATGCTTTGTGCTGATTTCTGCTTCCATATATTTCCCAGTCATTTTAATTAGAGAAGATACTATATGGTAGAACTAAGGCCTTTCCTTTCTTGGCCAAAGTATCCTATTTAACCCTTTGTATACTTCTGACTACTCACTGTTCATATTATAGGAGACTAGATTTGTAATATAGAACTTTCCATAATGCAAATAAAATTTATTCTGCCCAAGCCAGCATGGTGGCTTTATACTGAGTAGTAACTGAAGTCTGAACAATTGGATGAATTTGACTTCCAAGACAGCTAAACTTTTCAACTGCAATTTTAAAAACTACACTACATTGTTATAGTTAATCTGACAAAAATGTCCTCAAAGAGTACTTTATTTTATTTAAAGCATCTCTTTAATTCAACCTTTAGTAATTTTGCAAAGAAGGGTATGTGTGTATTTTAATATAGCCTGACCTGAATTTATATGTTTTTAGCTTTAGTATTTAACTTTTTGTAATGAATAAACCTTTTTTTAAAACAAGTTTGATGAAGTGTCCTGTAGTTATTTTACCTTACATGTTGAAATGCTAAAATGATTTGGAGACTACTACCTTGTATTTCTCAAGCATAAGTATGCTTCACAGATAATTTTCACTATGTGCGAAATATCTAAGATGTTGTTGATACTATAGATGGCTCATGTGTGGTGAGATAAATTTATATTGTCTTTAATAGTCAAGATCAAAATTTATCTCAGTAAGGTAACTGCCTTTATTTAGAAAAACGCTTTGATAATTAAACATAGAAGTGAGCCCCTTATAGGCTTCAGTGTTCTCTGGGACTAAGGCTTGAGAAGTGGAGAAGCTCCTCTGCATAATAGATGGAAAAGAATTTGGAACTTCCCAGGGCTGAGGAGTCCAGATGGGGAGGGGAGAGAGATGAGGCAGCAGTACCATGAGGATGGATGGTGCACGGAATGATGCAGCCCCTCCCCAGAAACTTCCCACATTTTCAGTAAAGCCTACTAAACTCACACAGGGCTCCACAGTGCCTTTGGAATTATGTCCCTAACACAAATCTGATCTAGACACACATCTTCACAGAAGAGCCCTATTGCCTTTAGTTACCTCCAGAGTCCTCTTTGCCATGAGGCCTTTTATAACTTAACCCTACCTTTCCTGCCTGAGCACTCCTCCCCCAGGCAGGAAAATTGCTGCTATCTTAACACACTGGACTGTCCATTAAGATTGTCTGTGTACTGGCAGACTTTAAACTCTTCCAGTGGCTTGGGGTGGGTTGCCATACCCTGTCTACTTGGCAAACTCCTGTATACCCTGAGAAGCCCATCTTAAATATTATTTCTCTTTTGTTTTCTGTGACTTTCCCAGGAAGAATTCGGGGTTTCTTTTTGTAGCTCTTCATTCATACCTCTGTTTTGGTGCTTTTGGCATTTCTAGGTATTTGTGTGTTGGTGGTCTCTACTGGGCTATTACTTGAGGGACAGGGACTATGTCTTGATTTTTCTTTGTGACCTGCTTCCCAACCCTCCATCTAGCATACAGCCTGGCATAACCTGTGTAATACATGGGACTGAAAGGTCCAGACTGCCCCAGCTGGAACAATAATTGCAAACTTGCAAATGAAAATAAAAAGCATGCTAATACTTGAAACTGTTTGCCCCATGTCAGGAGTAGCCAGTATCAGCGTAGGACCAGGGTGATCAGGGAGGCCAAGTGTATGGGGAGTTGATGAACATATAGAATGGAAAAGTGATAAATGATGAACCACTGAGGAGATGCAGAACATGAACAAAATGGTCCTTGGAGATATCTTTGCCTGGGAGTCTTCACTGGAGTTTGGGCAGTAAGACGAAATGGGGAGACAGAAGAGTTCTTGTTGGGCATAACGGAGTTAAAGATGCTCTTGGTGGTATATGCAGTGTTTAACTGTATGCAGATGCTCCTTTAAGTACATGCACTTGATTTCCCTGTCATGAGGCAAGCTGTGTCTTAAAATCTCAGTTGTCCTGCTCTGCTGTATAGCATAATGTTCAACAGTAAACTAATGACCAGCATTAGCATAAAAGTGCCTGGCATTC